CCCCCCCCTCCCTGCACAATGTGTACACTGTGCAAACCTCTTTGCTTTACATAGCTAGCATAGAGTCTATTTAACACTAATTAGTAGTTTAAATGCTGTAAAACAGGAAGCTTTTCTTATACCTTTTTATTTAAAAAATTATATATAAAAGAAATCCTTTCTCTTACTAATTTAACTATAAATTAGCAAGAGTAAAGACAGAGTTTAATTTACATGCAAGTAGCTGTAAATCTCTATTTAGTTACCTAACAAAGAGCAGAAAACTTGTCTATATAATACTATTTAAAGGTATTATATAAATAGTAGTGCTTATTTAACACTAGGAGGTCTGTTTTATCTTTTTGCACAAGGCTATTTAGAGGTAGCGTACAACAAGAAGTAAGACAGCGCGCAACAACACATAATTAACTACTATAGAGTAATAAGCAACACTAGCTCTATCTATAACTAGCTAACATAATGTATTAACATATAACTAATATATACCTTTTATAGGCATCTTAGCAAAGACCCTAGCAGAGCAGATAAACATTAAGAACTAAGTAAATAAGATTAAACTATTAAATAACATACTTAAAAAAAAGCTTAATTTATACACAGCTAACTTAATTATAAAACTCTACACATTAAGTGTAATAAATGTATATACACTTAAGAACTTTTAGAATAACTTTATAAAGTAAGAGCTTATACACTTTAAAAATCTTAGCTAACTATTTCTATAAGAACTAATTACTACTTTATAAAATAAAAGCATTAGTTTTAAAAAGGATAAAATAAAGGCTATTATACTATATAAACTTATAAAAAAAACACGCTTTTACTATTTTATTAGACTATTATACTAAACTATTACTACTAGCGTTAGTTTTAACACTATAGAGGATGTCTTTGTATAAATTACCTACAGACTTAATACTTTTTTTATAATTAGTATAACTACCTTGTAATAGCTTACTATATAAGAGTATAACTAGGCAGCTACATATTCCTGTAGCTATAGCTCTACATAACATTCCCTAAAGCTTGTACCTACTATATATAATTTAATTACTATATAATCTATACTAACTTCTACTTATACAAGATATTGTAGCAGAGAACTTTACACCTAAAAAGGTTATATAATTCTAGAAGGCATAAAAAAAAAGAATAACTATATAAAGCAACTATATAATATTCTAGCTAATAAGGCTATAGTATTTATTAAGCTTTACTAACACCTTACTATCTATAAGGCTTTATACACAAGCATCTTCCCTAATATTTTTAAAAGCTGTGCACATGTGTTCTACCTTTACAATATTAGCCCTAGAAAGATGTAAAGGGTTCTGTATAAATAGCTTAGTAATTACTTTAATACTAATGTAAATTATAACTAGTATTAAATAAATTAGATAATAATAAGCTTTATATAAATTAAGTAAAAAAACTTTATAAAAACTTTATATAAAGCTTTTAAAGCTATAATTAATAAGCTTACTTTTATATAAAAAGCTCTTAGTCTATAATTCTAAAGTAAGATACTGCTTTACACTACTATTATATAAGCATGCTAAGGATAACTTAAACTTAAATAAGTAATGTTCTTAATTAAGCCTACATGTAAGGCACTGTACAGTGACCTTTGTTTAGCACTTTAGGTTATAATTAATTAGCAGAATAACGCATTCCTAAATAAACTAAAAGACATGTACTACACTAATAAAAAATATAACTTTTCTTATATAATTAGCTTCTAACAACATAAAAAAAGTTTAAAGAGATATAAAGGATTATTTAAATTTTGCTTTTTTATATAATTAAAGTAATGCTTTGTCTGCTATAAAAAAGAATGTTAGTTAATAAATTATCCTTACATAAATTAATTTTATGCAAAACACTAGTACATCTTTTTATATAAAAAATTCTATAATAAGACTTTAATGTATAAAGAAGTAAGTGTGTATATTTAAAAATTTAAAAGTAAACTAAAGTAAAAAAAAAAAAGTTATATAATAATAACTTAGATAAAAAAAAAAGTAAAAAAATTATTAACTACCTTACCTTTACTACATTTCTCTACTGTGCAACAGCAGAGGACATATACAGCCTAGAACCTAAAGGATACGCAGAATAGTTTATTCTTAAGGATTAATATTATATAGTATACTAAGGTAAACTATAGGATACTAGCGCTGTAAGAATTTCTACTATAAAAAAGTTATAACTTAAAGCATACTTATAAGAATTTCCTTATATAAAAGTAGACTAGACACTAAATAAAAAGAGTATTAGCTTTAAAAAAAATTAATAAAATTAATTAGTACTATATAAATTACTAATCTAGTTAGTAGTGTTACATATTACATACTAGATACACTAACACCCTTCTTACTATCTTTTGCTAACACAGACTAGATAAATGTATACTTTAATAATATGCAGAATGTAATTATATAAAGTAATAAAATTAAGGTCTTAGTTATACACAAATAAGGTTACTTATTCTTTAATGTATAAAAAAAGAAATTAATGTCTTTTTTTATAAAATGTAAACTTTAACAACTGCACAGAAGGTTTAGCTATCCCTGTACAAAACAGCTTTACACAATGCTTAAAAACACTAGACATAACACTAATCTTTTTATACTTAAAGAGATTAAAAAGCTTTACTATATATATAAGCTATATAACCTAGCACTATAAAAATTTAAGTTTATAATTAAAAATAATTTATACTTTAATTATAAAATAGTAATTAATGTTATATAAATTAGTAACTAAGACATACTATATATAATTAACATAGATATATTATTCTAAGCAGCAACCTTTTTAAAATTAATGTCTGCATAAGATACCTAGAACGCGCTCTACAAGTGTTAGATTAACACATATTAGAGCTTACTTAATTACATTATATATAACTCTAGTATAAACTTTGCATTTAAAGATTTCTAAAATTATGTAAAGATTATAAGAGCAACATGTTAATAAATGCTAGTAGAAGCCTATTAGGCTATAAAAAAGATTAAGCGCGCGCACACACTACTGCAACGTGCATACAACATCCTCTATGCAGAATTAGATAATTATATAAATAATAAATTAGTGTTATAGATAGCTATTAAAGCCCTAAATAATATAGCAGGACTAAATAGTCTTATATCTATATTACTTATATTTAGAATATACCTAAGAATTAACATAGATTCTGCACTATCCTCTAACATTGCCACGCAAGCTAACGCTGTATAAAAGGTAATAAAAATACTTTAAAGTAAAAAAGTAAAAGTTAATATTAATTATATAATTAATACTTAAAATAGCCTAATATTATATAAAGTTCTAAATCTCCTACTTAGTTCTAAGGTAAAGACATAGTAAGAGAAGAAAAAATAAATAGGACTGTACATAGTAAAGAGAATTAAGGCCCTAGATGTTATTATTAAAATAAAGAATAGTCTAGTAAAACTCTACTACACATAAGTTATACTGTATTATTATATAAAAAAAAAGAATAAACCTGCACAAGAACTACTAAATCTAGATAAACTAGCCCTAGTATAAAGGGATCCTTTATAAGCATATAAAAGAGGTTGTCTATATAAGCAACTAACTCTAATTAATAAACTG